AGCATGTCTTCCTTGATAGCATATGTCCCAGTCCTAGGGAGGAAACCATCGCCTGGTCCTAGGCGTCTTAAGTAGTCCGTTTTTGGTGAAACCTATCAATAATATAGCAAGTTTTTGCAATAGAGTTAACACGAATACCTTCCTTTCTTAGGTTAGCCTGCAGAAACCATTTCATTAGATGACTACTCTTCTTCGGAATCCTGGCTACTAGACTTACCGTTTGGCCTCATCAACCTCTACCCATACGACAGGGCCAGTGACTGGGGTTTCAAAAGAACACACAGTCTGTACTGTCCTCCAAAAATAAGTAAGAGGAGGCAGTTTGTTTGTACGATCCTTTCCACAGAGCGATACACACGAGAAGCGAACCAACGTTATTTGCACCCCAAAACTTTCAGTATTATTAATGAGTTGTAACGATAACAAGAACAGATGGTCGTTCGGATGGCTTCATGACAGCGATAATCACAGGTTCTTTCTGCCATTTGGAGGGTCGCTCTGTAGAAAAGGTCCTACCTTGAACCCTACTCTCCCTGTTTTAATGTTTCAACAAAGTCATAAGTGTCATGAGCACGATTAAATAATCGCTCGGGTGGTTCGGCGAGCAGATATGTGAACTTCTGTTTAAAGAACTGACTGGGCCAATCCTAGAATGCTGTATCTAAACCTGGTGTCCCTAAGGCTTATTCGAGTGAATGAACATCTATCGCCCTAATTTAGAGAACACTCAACGATAATGACCAGAACGGTCGGCTGGATAAAACCCATTCTTTGTTAAAGGTAACTGGAGATGGTTAGTTATTTTCTCCCTTGCTCAAAATACAGAGGATTTCGATAGATGTTAGGCCATGCTATGCAGCCTAGCAGTTGTTTTATACTGGCACAAACGAAGAAGCGTCGAAGTCTATAAAAAGTTCGTCAGTCTAAACGTGCTGACTAGTTCCGATTCTCAGTTGATTTTTTGCAGACTAACCCGACTGCCCCACCTGTTTGCCCTTGTTGAAAATGTTCGCACATGCAAACAAAGACATAACTGACTTTGATTTGCTGCGCATATATTCACGCCATGTCAATCACGGACATAAACACTCTGATTTCGAATAAACAGATGCGTATTTTCACCGGTCTACGTGAAACTTAGTATGTCAAAGATTCCTCATTTCACTCTTACATGTGCTGAATTATATTGAATTAACTACGACATTCGTATTGCATACCTTTGTTTGGTGTTCGCTTTTAGCCTTGAGTGCAACATAATAGAATTCCTTATTAAGCATCTCAAAATCTCTTCGCTCACACCACAGATGAAACAGAACATTGACAAGCTGAGTGTTTGGTCCAACAAATGACTAATGAACTTTCATTTGTCTAAATGCACGATCATAGATTTAAACATCGGTCGAAAAGTCACTCCTGAACACCAGTGTTATTTTAACGCGACTGTATAAAAAGATGTGGAAGCGCACAGAAATCTGAGTAATTGGCCGACTGCGAATTCGATGCCGTAAGCATGCTGAAAGAAGATGGTTTAGATGGCAACCAGTACTTTGGATTGGATTAGACGTGCGTTTAAGATATTTCCTCACGAACTCACCACACATGTTTCTGGGACTTTCTTGGGCATCACTTTAGAATACGAAATGTCACAATGTACTCCGCGGCTGAGGAAATATGTTGACCTCCTCTAACAGGTGTTGCTCAGGACGACGAATGTGGTCGATGGTCTTAAAGTCTTTAGCACAAGGTTAATTTACAATATTTTGGTACATTCCGTCTGTCTTAAGAACAGTTAAGACATGGCTTGCTCCGAGCATTCCGGATTATCTGTGACCATGGTTGTTAGCTGGTTTTTGAAGGCTTCTTTAAGTATGCACGCACATCTCAACTAGGTGGACATACTAACAAGGTCAAAAACGAATACACACGAATAGACCACCGAAGGCTTTCCTTCAGCCAACGGTTAGTCCAACAGTGAATCAGATGTCAAGTGAGATACCAACAATCAACACAATCCTTGTGTTTAAATACAAGTTTGATCACCTAATGTTTGGATTTCGTCATTCGCCAAGTGATCAGTTACGGCCAGCCTTGTAAAACTCCTTGTGATACCCAATGTTGCAATGCCATTCGTAAGAGCCGCAGCAAGCTTCCCGGTTCCATAATTGTTGAGAATAATTCCCAATTACAATGCTCCCGCACGATGAGCGCAGTTCTAAGTCATACGAATAAGCTGGACTTATCACATCATGCAGATAGGATTTTTGCTAAAGCTGCGCAGATATCTCGCATCACATCGCATTGTTTTTCTGATAATCTGAAATCAAACTGGCATTTTTCCGGATGCTCGTCCTTCAAACATCAAGTAATGCTGTCCTTTATTCGGTCTAATGAATTCCTGAGACCGTATACGGTTACGTAACAAAACTGAAGTTGCTGAAGTTTTTTACGCGATAACTACTCTTTTGCTTAATTTATTACGCCCTACACTGATGGATGTCGATTAAAGAAAATTACATTTTTACAGGTTAGAAGACTTAAGCCCGTCTCGGCTCCCTGTTCCGTATCAGTCATTCAGGCACTGACAACATCCCGGTGGGTCGATCACATGTCTTCCGTAATTCTTCACGGCCATTCCACGGCCCCCTTTTCTTTACACTAAACGCTCTCTGTTTTGCTTATAATTATAATTTCCTTGAAATACTCTTCCAACTAAATTCATGCAGTCACCTGAACTAATAGCATTTAAAATAAAACCACGTACATATCTGAACTCGATGGGTATATTGTCACTATCTTTCGTTCCACTGACAGAAACCCAACTTTTGAAACTTGAAATGCATCCCCCAGGAATTTAAAAACATCACGAGCTTCATTGATCTGACCGGAAACTTACTGAACCCAACGATTCTACAAGTTGTTAATTGGTTACTAAATCCCCCGGTATTGCCATGCGCATCACCGATCTCCTTAACCTCCTCTTCTCTCTGAGCGAATTGTTGGCGATCGGAGCGTTTTTCTCTGTCTCCCCACCTCGCAGACTGTTTCTTCGTTCAGTACAGGAAAAATATGGTCGCATCCAGTGCATTTTGGGTGTAGAAATAATGTCCTACAGTTTACAAATTCCCATGTTAAGAAACTTTCCAGATTTTGCATACATTCGTCAATATAGTTGTCCACTGTCGTTTAGGTCCATTTTTATCCATAAGCGACAGTATTTTCTCTTTAAAAACCTCAGTAAATTTTCATCTGTTTTGACAATAAAGTCACAAAAATTTCACTCATGATTCGCCCTGATGAATTTTTTTACTGTTCTCCCATTCTAATTTTCCACTGCTTCCTCGGCACTGACGACACCAATAAGTGGGCGTCTAATGCAACAGCCGTCATAAATGTAGCAAAGCTGACCACTGTAATACTTACTTGTTGGTTTGGAAAATTTTGATGACTATCTTTTATTTACATCGACAGTGCCCAAAATGAGGTTCAGTACAGCGTCAGTACTACTGCCGTTCACATGACATGAATTAAGTTTTGACACACTCATGGTTCGCAGACTTATCAAGTGGCAGATGTATGGCAAACAGTTTATTCAGGAGACTATTCTAAAGTCAGTTTCCTGTCTTGCTTGCTGTGAAAGTTGACGGAAAACACAGCAAATTTGTCTGACTGAAATGAAGCATTAAGGTTTTGGCAACGTTAAAGTAAGGATATTTATTGTTACACTGCTTGTCATAGACAGTTCGTAGGTGGTAAGGCGCTGGTGCTCTTATTTCAAATGAACTGGAAAACAATGCTATTCCCGACAGCACCCGATCTTAAAGTAAATTTCCAAGCTTGGACGCTCAGTCATTAATAGATGCAGTCATGTAAAGGCGATGCTTAGGTATATCGGAGACGCAGTCTTCATGCATCATTCTGTTACAGTGACGCATGCTCGCTATGAAAGCTATGGTGCCTGCCTAATGAAAAATGTATGACGACGGTTATTGAAAGGAAAGACGACAATTTTATAAAAATTCAGCTTGCACACCCAGAGAAAAAATCTAGAGAAAACAAATCACGACCAATTTACATGCGCCGGATTGGAGCAACCCAAAAATGGGGACAGAGCCATTATTCAAGGTCATTTCAAACCCAACCGACATCGCGAAATGATAAACAAACTACCTATACGTATTCTTGGAAGTTCATCCCTTGTAATAAATTGTAAAAACAACAATAATAAAGTGGAACAGAAGTTGTGCAGGTTTCTTCTATCATCAAATAAAGAAACAAAACATGCAAGACAAGTGGTTTTCTTTCTACTTTTTCAGCGATATATATTAGCACACAGACCTGCTGAAATAAGGTGGAGTAGGCCAACTCGAAGCACCGACAGTTGAAAGTCAGTTTTGGCAATAATGCACGTTTGATGGACCCGAAATGCAGTCGATGACACTAGATTTCTTCATATATTTCCAGTTTATTTGAAAGTCAATTTGTTTTTACTTGTTCCGCAATGTTATGGGGTTGGGTTGGCCGACCGTTCAGAGGAGGCTTGATGTCAGACCCTGACGGCATATGGTTAGAAATGACAATCGTGCATAGAATATGTTGTAAGCCTGCAAAGGTCACTCAAAGATGACACATTAGTTCTTGGGGATATACTGCTTGTCACTCTTCCAACTAACGGACGCACATCTTGATGAATTTGTGGCGACCTTAGAAGCTTCAGTTGCGTATGAATCAACGTGGATTTTTATAGGTAGGCTATCAGTTTGCACATGGAAATTAATATCTCCAGACTTCGACGCCTTAAATGGCATGATCAAACACTGTTATGCTTACATTTGGCGGACAGTTGTCGGATATCTCTATAGAACTATACCCTATTATTTCGTAGTTATTTTCCTGCACTGGAAGTTGGGACACCGGGATACTCTAATCTTTACCTCTCGGAGGCCGTTGATACGGCAACAGATATTTGACCTTGACATCATCTACATGCTCCATTTTGAATAATGGAGCTTCTTGGGAGTTCATATGTGGGCGACTATAAAAACAAACGGTAGGCCTATAAGTTGTTGATATTGGAGATTTAGCATGGAGGGGAAAGGAACCTACAAGTTGCCGACTGGTGCACAATATGAGGGTGAGATGAAGGACGGGATGTTCCATGGAGAGGGCGTCTTGTACTTCACCGATGGCAGCAAGTATGTCGGACACTTCGTGAATGGATATCCCGATAAAGTTAGTTTCGCCATTTAAACAATAAATAAAGGGAAAATATTACTTTGCAGATGGCCTTGAATACAACGAAGAATGCTGGACATATTGTGATGGACACGATAGAAGATTCTATACAGAAATTCTGAATGGGCTTCAACCCGCAGGTATAGCTTTGACGGAACAATTGAATGAATTTAACATTTATTCGCATGTTCTATGTTTCGGGCTCACATGCTGTCTAGACCTTAAATGCGGTTGGTAAGCATGCGGGTGTGGTAACTGTGTGCCAAACTTCAATTGAAGTTAACTCAGCTTTTCTTGCATGAAAAGATGTAGAACACAAAACAGCGGAGTAAAAATGAGAAGATAAAATATGCTGACTTTTGGTTAAAAGAGCGATAAACCACTAGACTGAGAAACGAACTAATTTAGTTCCGAACTTGAAATTACTATGCGAGCCTATGGATATAAACATATACTTGGGAAGAATTCAACGTGCGTGTCAAATCGACAGAAGATTTGGGACATAATTATAACTAAATGTAATCAGTCACGCTGTTTGCTGACCGCGCTGATGAAAGCTGCTTCTAAAACTTGTGCTGATTTCTGTAGAAACTAACATCGCTACCATGCGCAGAGGAAAAACCAGGATCGTGTTTTCTATTTGATCCGTTGATTTTTGTTATAAGTAGGTTTTATTATCGCTCGCATAGAAGGAAATGATGAATGTGAGCAGTTTAAAATCCACCAATTTGCAAAAAAACACAAAGATAGTTATCTTATCGAACTCAGGACGTGACTGGGCAGGGTTGATTATAACAGTTTGACAATTCAGTTAGTGATCTTTCCGTAGTGCTCACTAATGTTTATTGTTCGATTGCTCTTCTTCTCCAAAGCTGCATCTATTATACCCTACATTAGATTGCCGTCAGAAGTGATTAGTTTGAAGTTTCAGTGACGATGACTATCTGTAGGGAAATACGATCCAGACTAATTCTGTCTGCGAGTGTACAAGCTAAATCATTAAGGCTGTCTGATGAATAGTTTGCAACAAGACATCCATAACTGTTTATAGGACGAAGACTTACCAACCTCTTTTATCAAAAATTTGAGACAATACCCACTGAAATTTTTCAACAGGTATCTTAACGAAATAACTGGGGACAAAAAGGTTAAAATGCTTCAACATAACTCGAGGTTTAGGTTGCTTAGAAAAGTAATAACCAGTAATCATAACACGTCTGTTGCTTTTGAAATATTCGGAAGAAAATCTAAGTGGGTCTCCTATGTAAAGCCCAAAATGCTTTGTCGATATTCATCAATAATTGCCGGAAATAGTGGTACCTGTTTGTCTCCCTACGTAATTCACCTTACCTGACTTAAAATGAAGTCGACAAACTGATTGAATAAATCAATGTCCGCCAAGAATATAGTTTGAAGGATGCATTCTACTCAGAATCAGGACAGCCTGTAAGACTTATTTTGCAGTAATATTGCACAAACATTTAGTGTAGGCGCTTTCAGTCATTTTTCAACAGCAATATTTTCGCACAAATATTTGGATCGCATAATTTAAACGTAGATCGTATTAAAAGGAACAACATGAGTAATAACAGCCTAAATTGTGTGGGAACTATGCGATCAAAATTAATTTGAAAACGTACATGACTGTTTTAGTGAAATAACAGTTACGTAAGTCCTCTATTTCGGAGCAGTCAGTCAGTATGACAATGGCAACATGACCTCAGTTTTGCTTTTTCCATTCATTATGCCACGTTCACTCACCGTCATCTCTGTTACTTAATCAATATCAATCAAGCAATTTTAAAAGTTTCTTCCAAAATGCCGTTATATGTGCCAGACTAACCCCGGGTAAGACAAACTTTTTCACCGTCATCTTTGTTTTTTTATCAACATCACTCAAGCAATTTTAAATGTTTCTTCCAAAATGCCATTATATGGGCCGAACTAACCCCGGCTAAGACAAACTTTTTCACCTGGGCCTCTCGTCTTACGCTTAAGAACGAGCTCTTTGAAAAACAACGCTAACATCTCTTGTTTATCATTGATGGGAGTCTAAAACGTGGTTTCTGGCAAAGTTTTCACTGATTACGTCTTGAAGTATCCAATTAAGCCACTGGGAAGTAACTGTTGATCATGCAGAAAAAGTGTACACTGCTTATTTCGAGAACAGCAGCCCATGTAGGTACTACTTCTGTTACCAATTTAAAAATTCATTTTCCTGCTATTATCACCCAGTCTTGATTACTGAAACTATGCAAACAGGCCATTTTAGCTGTGAAAGTGCAAGCCTATCGTATAGGTCTTGTGTTTTGTATGCTAACGTCAAGAAATCATAAGGTACATTTCCCCTCTAATGAATTCGACAAAGAAAATATTTAAATGTTCTTCAAATTTTTACAGGTTTTGTCCCGTTATTCCACCTACCTATCGACAAACGGTCGTAGTATTCCCCTGCCTGTAAAGCGTTTTGATTGCAACAATCGTTTTTGTAAAATCAAAACTTAGCGGCCCTTGGCTGTTATAAGTTTCTGTCGCTCCTTCTGAAACTTCTAGGTAGGACCAATCTCACAAACGGACCAACGAGGAAGATTCCACCCCACTGTTATGACACTGGCGATGGGTTTTATGACCCAAAGCACAGGATTGTTTTTGATTATGAAATGAGTTTTCTTCGAAATGCAGGTGGGTGTCAAAATTGTATTGAAGTTATTTTTGCAAAGATAATGAAGAACACGAATGGATTATCAAAAATTGTCGAAAGGACACGGACGACTTTGTTAATAAAAAATACGACGCTTGCGCGGATATAATGGGAGAAGCATTTCAGTCAGATGCTTGTAATAACCGTAAAAATAATTAGCGTATAGTAAAGCTAAACGTGTTTTTTTTTCTGCCTTTTGAAATAACATGTTAAATCCAACTAACCCTGTTGGGAATATTTTTTGGACTTCAACATCACAATAGTCATCCTAACATTGTTGATTTGGGTCGAGTATCGCCAGATAAAATTTCGGACTTATAAGAAACGTTGCGATATAGATAAAATTTCATTGATGTAAAACCGCATCAGGTGTTCTCAGAGATTTAGTTGTACACGCGCACCAGGTACGGCGGAATAACCGCTAAACATTCACAAACCGCCAACAGGCAGCCAGTAGTGTAGAATTATGCAATGATTTACCGTACTAACAAACTTCGAACCGTGCCTGAAAAGGTCGGTTTCGAAAGATTTACTCCAAGTTCGCGCATTATTTTCCTCGGAAATTAAACAAGGCAAGTTGAAACTGGAGTTCATATACCAGAAAACACACGGGGAAGCTGGGGGACCCACTGACGAGCCGAACCCCTCGCAACTGCGTCAGACAGCGGCATAAAATCGGCGAAACACGCGTGTCTGGGCTTTTGGTACGGTAAATAATTGCAAAATATCTTTACTTCCTAACGAAAGACAACATCGCATTCAACGCGGCCGAAGAGACTCTGATGTCAGAACATAAGTTTATTTGCTATTACAAACTCCAAGCCCTAATCCGCTGTCCTGTGTGGCATTTTACGACGGAACCTCTGAATCCTCGACGAATTAACAATTACTGGAGCATATATTTTGTACTGTCGAAGTATAATCACAGTGGTATCTTATAACAAACAAGACCTTGAATAGGAAGACATGTATGTTTCTAGAAAAATAGGCAAGTTGTATATAACGCCCCTCCGGTTGTATAAGGACGTTCACAGCGGTGATCAGTAAGTAAATAGAAAAGTGAAAAGACCACAAGGAATTATTCGGCCATTGTGGTCATGCATACAGTAACAAGTAATTTCGATCACAGATTGCCCTTGGGAAAGGAAAACCCTAGGTATGGTGGGTACGTTGGCGAAAAGTGACGAAAGTATCGTGTTCCTTTCTGGACTTCAAGGTGGAGACAGGAGCAGAAGCTAAATATGTTGTTCAGGAAGTTGTTTTTTCTTTGAAGACCGTTTAACTTTTCGAAGGTTCGGAAGGAGTCTTTCATTCGGTTTCGCACAACGACACATATTGGGCAGGCCCTGACGCGGTGAGGACTAAATTGGGACGGAAAAGGCACGGAATGTGATATTCTGAGGAAAAAAGTGTATTTTTACGCATCTCCCTAAGGACCGTTTTAGACGAGCACAGGTTTGCCGGTTACACCACCAAAAGTTAAGAGATTAATAGGCAGGGTTAGCATTGAGACAGTATTACGGAATGTTACCGAGAGCTAGCTGACGAGATGGGTAGGTGGCTGTAGAAATGCAAGCAGTACAAAGACATTAGTAAACAAAGTAACTCAGGTAGTAAGAAGGGGATGGAAAATTGTGTAATATTATAACTTTGCAATGATACGTTTCGATGTGCCGTTCTCAGCATCACCCATATTAGAACTTTTATGATTATTTATTTGCGAAACGGCTGTACTCTGTGTTTCCACAACATCGAGACGGCCCAGTTAGGCGATTAATCTCTTTCGGGATATCGCCATCCCTAGAGCGGAATAACCCTCTCCTTCAAACCTCGTCTGGACTCAAAACGACTTTTGTCGTTCCATTTGAGTTGAAGGTATTTCTTTTTTCGGGTGGTGGGGTGGGGTGGAGGACGCTAGCACGACGGTCGCTGAGTCATCTGCCAGCGTCAACAAGAACTACCCCGATTACAGGGGTTCCGCTTTTGAGGAGCGGGTTGACCGCCTCAGCCTACATCTGCGCAGGCCAAACAATTATTGCTAATTCCTCCACCTTCAATTGAGTAGGCGCCGCTTTTCTGTGGCAGGGAGATTCCTCTTATAGGTCGAATGGGGACTTGCAGTTAGCGTATATAAAAAGACAAGCAGTAGATCCATCGACCCTGCAATGTTCATCGATTTTCTGGAAGGTTTAAGATGACTGAGAACAAAAATCGAAGAAAATGTATTGATGAGGTTAGCGGCTGGTGTTGTGCATCCCATTACCCATTGGTTCTGGCTGGACGAAATAATTACGCACAACTTACTTCAAACTCAAATGTAGACATGATTGAAATTTCCAGTAAGAAAAAGTCTGTCGAGGCATTTTGAACCTCCCACTTGCAGCTCCGCGTGTCCTTCGGACTTTGACAAAGCATTCCGGATAGAAAAAACAAATGATTCCAATAGAGATTGCTCATATTAGCTCATTTTTGACATTTCTGTCATAAATACTCAATATACTTTGGTGTAAGGGACTTTCCCACAAAAAGAAACAAACTGACGATCCCCCGATCTGGTGTGTGTAGAAGGAATTGGTGTATCGCGTATATTCTTTGTACGTCCTAGACAAGGGGCTCGTATGTTGACATAAAAACCTTCATTGTGACTCTTCTTTTTACCTATTTATATAGGCCGAAAGACATTATCATATATAGAGAAGGTTTTAGTGGTTGCATCTGCGGTACTGACGCATGCATCTACCTTTGGCAGGTCCTTATTTGAAATCAGTGTCCACATCGTTGATACTACAACTACAACTACTACTACTACTACTACTACTACTACTACTACTACTACTACTACCACCACCGCGGTAACAATAATCATCGTCGTCATCAGCAACAGCAGCACCATATCACCCTTGCAGCAGTGATCCGGACTCGGACCTAACTCTCTCCTGTGGTGATTGCGCCTTTACATCTCACCCTGGACTGGTCAGGCACTAGTGAATCCATCGCACTGAGACCGGTGAACCAACGGCTGAAGCCTCAACAGACACCGTTCACATGCTCAACACCTGTCCACAATGTCCCAGAACATTCGAGGGCAAATGAGTCTTTTCGGCCATATTTGCACCCACGACAGTGAAATTTGCCGCAATTTCGACACGCCGAACCTGCTTCGCACACTCGAACCCCCTCCCCCGAGCTAGCCCTACCAACCCTCCTCCCCACCATCAGAGTTGAGATCATTAACAGCAGCGCCACTACTATCACCTCAGTGGCTACGAACCTGTCCTATTCACACTGCCGCCGCACATTTACATGACGCGTTGGTCTGGTCGGTCACCCGTGAATCCATCGCAGGGGGACTGGTAAGCTAGTGTCAGGAGCACCAAAAAACACGTCGCACCCTTTCAAACTGCCTGCATTGCCCACAATGCGCCTTTAAAAAGACTCGGGGCTAAACACCGCGGTCCCAACCCTCATACCACACCTCACTCGACCAGATTATACGTCACGCATGATCCCACTTCGCAATACCTGACGCAGGGGAAGAACATGTAGCGTTCACGTTAGTGGGAAGTATGTTCGTCAGTGCAAGCTGGTGTCCGAATAGGTTGTGTGTGTGTGTGTGTGTGTGTGTGTGTGTGGACGGGCTCCTACTGCTTAGTCAGTCGCTGAGCCAGGATAACTGACAGGCTGGGACAGTCATTGGTTCACGGGGCAGGGACGGGGGTTAGGTTAGCTCCGGGATCTCCATCCCGACGACACGCCAGCGCATTCTTTATCATAGTAACCCAACGTCCTAAACGTTGTGATTTGGAAGGCTGTCAGCTGACGGGGTAACTTGGTCCTCGATGGTCAGTAATTTGTGCATGTGTGACCCCAAAATGGACAAAGTCGTAGATGCGCTGGACCTACGGGGGGGGGGCACATTGGTTTCTAGCAGGCGTTATCGGGAATGCGTCCCCATAACAAATACTAATATTCAGGATGCAGTGGCAGACCCAGTTACCGGCTCACCTGAGCCGCCCCTCTTTCTTATTGCAGTACAAAATTCTGACCGATGTCCGTTGTAAACCAGGGAATGTGGTGTCACGTCTAGGTTCGGGTCCAGCCGTGCCAGCCACCTGCGCCCTTCTCCGCTTACGGTCTTCTTGACTATGTCTTGACACCGGGTCCAGGTGGGGGAGGAGAGAGTGCGGTAGATGCTGTGGAAGTCTACAATCACCGTAAACTAATTCACGCGGAAATCAGCGGCCTGCGCCAATCTTAAAATGAGGCGCACTGTGGATGTGGTCGTTCGCTCTGGTCAGCCTGTTGTTCTGTAATTACCTTCATTATTTTTTAGTTCATTTCCGTGTCTGATATTTAGACTGTGCTATCACGAACTGAATATTCAGCTCTCAAAAGTACAGGCTGACGCCTAAAACTATCTGGTAACTGGGTGATTTTTTTGTGAAAGCTGTTGCGAAGTATATGTGCAAGTACCTCATTCTGTTGCCGTGATCTCGTTCGCTTTTTCTTCTTTCCTAAGCATCCTGTTCCGAACCGTTGCAGACCGTTTAATGCGGTCGGGATCAGTATGTGCATCCGTCAGGTGTCTGTTGGAACTTGTGAAACAATGGTTTAAACGTACTTAAACTCTTTCAAATGGGAAGGATAGTAAAGATGTGGCCGAAAACCCGAGTAATATAATTGCGGTCACGAGTAAATTCTCACGTCGTAGCAAGGGGATTTTTGAATGACCTTTTTGTTACTGTACAAGGAAAATACAGGAAACATCAATATTAAAAAATCGATACTCGCTTGGCGTATCATGTCTACAAAAATTCAGTCGCAACTTCGGGGAAAGATGCTCGAAAAACCTGGCTCTTTTACCATATTTATAAGAAGCAGTAATTTCTTCCAACTTTTAAGTCTTAAAGAAGATAGATTATCTGGTTTCAAGTTTCAGACGCATCTACTGCCCTCATGTGGAGAACTGCTGTTCACAAGTCATGCAAGGTGATTAATGCATGTTGATTATTTTTGTGAACTCCAGGAGTTCATTTTGGAATACGTACGGTAATGCCAGTTTGTTTTTATTGACATGTATCAGGCAGTCTGGAAGCATTAATCACTAATGCCAACGTAGGTTATATTTAAAAGTATGCGGTACTAAAAAAGGTTTTTGAAGTCAAGTCTCCTTCTTCAACAAGGACCCACAATATAAGGAAAACGTACCTTCCTGTAAAGCATGCTTGGGAAGTGAATTGTCGTGTATTCTTTCTACAAACTGCCAATCGATTTGAAACGGCGCCGAAAATGAATACAAAAAAGAGGCAGTACTAATTACTGACGTTTTTCGGTCTGTGGTTCACGGCCGCGGCTGGGATGATTTGCGGTCGAAATTCAAGTAGTTTTATTCTTACGCAAGTGCTGGTCACGTGAAACTGTGAAAGTGGAACCAGAATGGGGAGACTGAAATTGGACGGGAAGCTAGGATTCACTTTGACGCCCTCAGCGTAATAACACTGATGAACCCGTTACAGGCGCATCACCTGTCCCCAGTGTCCCAGGGCATTCGGACCGATAACAGAGAAATATTGTTTCAGGGGAGGGGGAGAGGAGGAAGACAGCTATGCCGACTGATTTGACAGCCCACATTTGGAAATAAGAAGACTCATTGCTGAGCATAGAATCTGCACAATTGCACGCCTCGTCAAGTGAGGTTTCAATTGCAAAAGCGTGCTTGATAAGACCACGCGTGAAAAAAGAAGTTTAACATTCTGTATGGCGGCCGTTTTATTACATATGTCTTTGGGCAGGCTCTAACTTATTCCGTAGGCGTTTGGGTTTACGCAATGCGACCAATGTCCCCCTCCGACAGGCCCAAAACTCCTCTAGCCTCAATGAATGCTTTTAATGTTTATCAGTCTCAATAAGGTAACACAGTAGATAAAGTTACGAGTTACATTGTAGGAGGAATGCTGAGAAGAGGAGGTCGATAGAAAGTCCACTGTTGGCCTATTTGCCGATATCAGTCGGCCAAATCTTCATCATAATTCGTGAATACCTGAAAGATGAGCCCAACTTTCTGTCGCTTTACACATGGCTAATTTCTCACCGGCTGTGATTAGGAATACTCAAAGTCACGTGCGAATGGCGTCTCGCCTGTCTCGTGGTTAGATGAAACACCCCAGATAGAGGGTGGGAGGGAACGAGAGTATTCCTTTCTGCTTGTAAGGCCGTTGGCGGCCATTACTAGACGTCGGAGATGTAATCCCGAGAGAATCACCACATACACGCAATAAAGGTCTCCAGGCCGCTCAGGCAAAAATTATTTGCGCGCAAAAAACGACTGAAAACCAGCGAGCCATTAAAACGGAAATCCCAGAGTCCAGGAAATCTACCTGTCACAATTTAACACCCGTAGAAAGGCGCTGGAGTTAAATATCGCTCTTTGGACCAACTTCAAGTTGACTGATCTGCCCTTAATTCGAAAGGACCGTGACATTCCCTCCTTGGTAAACTGTGCATTGCATTTTGCATCGCGATTTTTGGAAAGAAGACATTTCAAGATAACGAGCTCGATCCCACAAAAATGCTCTAGGGGTTGGGTCGCATTCCCCCACTATGCCTTTCACCTCAACGACGTTATGAAGGCGAAACTTCCGGACTCACATCTTCCTTTAGACCCCCTTCTTCCTTCTCCTCCGCCTCCTTCTCTCGTCCGGGGGATGATTCAGAAGGAGACTTTGTTTGTCGTCGCTCCGCAGGCTGAAATGATGCGCGTTCCGCCACCGATGCGAACTCGAAACTCAGATGGGCAAACTTGGACTCCAGCGATGCGTAGGCCTCTTGCACTGCACACAACTGGCTTTTAAGTTCGGGCGCGACCTCCTCAGTGACGCAGTCTGCCGGCGTGTATTCGCGTCCAAGCCTGTTACACATCATATGCAGGCGAGGGATGTCCAGCGACATCAGCTCACGCGCAGTCTCCGCAATT